GCTGTTGTGTTAAAAGTTAGAAAATTCCTAAAATCCGTTTAGCCCTGTAGAAAATTTCTCGAATGTGCATTTTTATCGGATGTGTGTTAACGTGTGCTTTGTTTACCCGCCTATGCATGCAAGCATGCATGCATGTAATATTGTTCACGTGTGTGTCGTATACGTGTGTGGATGCATGTATTCATGTTCGCTAACGTTTTTATGTATGTAAACAAAAATTATTTTTGGCTTTACATACATGTATGTTTATTGACGTTTGCATCCATCTTGATGCCAAATTGCCATTAATGTACATAACTTTTAAGTAGCGAAACGTAATTCAGAAATTATTCCAAATAATTGATTGTATCGAAGTTTTTATGGTAAATAAATAAAACATGACAAAAAAAAACAAATTTCCCAGCATAATGAAAAGTAAACCGTTAAAAAAATCAGTTGCATCGAGCAATGCTGAAAATAAAGCAGCACAATAGCCGGCAGAACGCTGGCAAAGCACGAAGCAGCACAATAAGATTCCATCACACCTCCATTCTTACTGATGTGAAGACGTTCTCCGGAGACTCATACAACAGCTCTTTACGGTGCTTGCTGCTACTGGTGCTGCTGCTGTTTTTATATGAACGACGCTAATGCTGTTGCATTTCTTTACTACCTATGCAACCGCGCATTATAACATTTCGGAAATAACGTTAAAGTTTAAGTATTTATAATTTAGCTTCTAAAACTACTTCATTGTTCATTGACGTATCAATATTCGCATTTTAACTGTAATAAAAATGAAAATAATTTTCACAGCAAAATTTTAATTTTGATTAAAAATTGGCAGCAACCTACTTTGTTGACCTCCGGCTAAAATCAAAATATGTTTATTTCCCTCTCTTTTTATATACTTATCGTCTTTCTGAATTCCTGTCACATGGTGTTCTACTTTTCCATTTCCTCCAACTCTCGAGGCAGTTGAACTTTTCAGGTTGAGTGTATTTTGGAATGAGCAATTCAACAAGCGTTCGTATTTGATGAGCGTTAATCAAATTAAATTTAATTAGTTAACAAATTTTAATTCAATCTCAATTGAATAATTGACTTTGTGAGGTTACCTCTGAAGTAAAATTTTATAAAGGAACGTGAAATCTGAAGTGTGGTGTTTTTTTTTATTAAATTGTTTTGGCGAAAATTTTCAAATATTCGCAATAAATGTGGTAAGCAAAATTTTCCGATGACAATGCAAGAAAGAATTACTTATTCAGCTGACTTAAATAAATATATCAATCAATGAAATAATGTTACTAAAACAAAACATTTTAACGACAAATAAATAAATTTTAATGGAAAGTAATTTTTTTTATTTTTTAAAGTGTTATTCCATTTGATTTGTTTAGGAAAACCTTCAACTATTTAATATGTTTAATTTTCCAGTTTCGTTCATTGTTATTTTGCCAATGAAAATTACACTAAAAACTGTACAAAAATTTTTAATGTTTTAGGCATGGTTTTTTAAAGCTCACAAATGCTTACAAGTTGTTAAATATGATTCTCCATTTTGGCATGTCTTTTTTCTATCATACATGCAATGTACACAACTATTTTGAAATATGGAAATTGTTGTAAGGATCAATATTTTAGGAAATTTTTTCATGGCTCAACTTTTTTGGCTGTTTTAGTTGCACGTTTGTCAACTCGTGTTAATAAAATGAATTGAAATAATTATATGCCCCAAATGCGAATTGCGTCATAGAAAGGGCAGTAAGGAGAGGCGGTGGTGCGGGTGTTGAAGAAAATTCATGTGGACAGCAGGAGGATGGAATGGTTTATGATGCTCTTGTAAAAACGAATTAGGCATTTCCTATCATTTGTTGATTATTTTTGTTCTTTTTGTATCTTTTTGAAAAACTATTTAGTATCAAAATCAGCCAATATTATAAATAATTATGTTGTTCATTTAATAACTCCTCACAAAACAAAAAAGTCCAGAATGAAACCATTTGTAGTAACAGTGAAAATGTAATTCACCTTTTAAGCAAATGTCATACTAAAATTTTAATACGATTGCTAAATTTTTGTAACAGGTTTTATTCGGTATTGTATGTTGTGATCTGCATTTTTTAAGAAATAAGTTTTGCCATAGTATTTTTCCACTCCTCACCTCAACAATAATTTCAAATACAATTGTAAAAAGCGGAAACATTGGGTGATAAATGCCTGAATGCAAATGAACAAATAAAACAAATATCCAGTTACTCTGTCTATTTACCACCGACCGGTTGGTTGGTTGGGTGGTTGGTTGGTTGGTTGGTTGGTTGGTTGGTTGGTTGGTTGGTTGGTTGGTTGGTTGGTTGGTTGGTTGGTTGGTTGGTTGGTTGGTTGGTTGGTTGGTTGGTCAGTTGGTTAGTTGGTCAGTTGGTTAGTTGGTCAGTTGGTCGGTCGGACGGTCGGTCGTTTGATCGGTCGGTTGGTTGTTTATATACATACATAAAACAATGGTTAGTTTTTTACTGCTTGTTTATTCTCTTAAAAAGTATTGCATGCGGCCTTTAATATCTTCGTCAAATCATTGAAACAACTTCTAGGTACAGCAGTTGTTTATTATATTTGTCAACAGACTATCCACACACTAAGTGTTGCATTGTTCTCCGATGTTGTTCTTTGATATGCTTAATGCATTTTTAACGGGTTTTTAAAATGTTCATTATATTTAGTACGTATTCCATACTTGTAATAAATTGATGTCTGATACTTAACAATTGAAAAATTATTCACTGACTGAAAATATTATTTTAGTTTTTACAATGCACTTCTGTCAAACGCAGAGTTACTGATATGTTTTCCTATATCTATACTAATATTTAAACCACAGGACGAACATACACATTACGTATGCACGCGCAAGCACCCCATCACAGGAGTATGATGGTTTTTGAGTTTCGGACAGACGGTATTCGAGCCATGCCATCGGGTTATAGCAGAGCAAGACATGGCACTTCTAACGACTCGTCCAGTTCGGTTGCCCATTACTTACAAGTTTATTGAAACTCTAAAATTGTATACATTAACACTTTGATATAAAACGTCTGGTGTCTATAGCGACGTATTTTTGCGTTTGTTCATTACGATGAGTCGTTTTTTCCCCATAGTTCAAGCACTCGTTTTGGTCATCAGCTTTGTGACGGAATTGCAGACTGAGTCAACTTACTGCATCATATCATTTTCATCTACTCTGTGCTACCGTTCCTGACAGTCAGGTTGTCCTGTGAATGTGCATTGCAACAATTATGTTACTTGCTAACTGGATTGAACCACAGGCTGTTGAATGGATTTGTATTTTTTGACCGCCTCAGATCAATAGATGATTTCTCCTTTACGAAATTTTTTACATTTTAATAGTGATGTCATTAATTAGTTTAGTTTTAATTTTGAAGATGTGCTTTTAAAAGTGCTACAACAAACGTCGGTCGTGTTAATTAATGAAACAGCGAGGGTAAAAAATCCCCACATTGTTGCATCGCTCTGCTGCTGGTTTCTTAAAAGAACGTGACGAGATTGACTGAAACGGTGGTGACTGCTGTTGGTGCTCTAGTCATTCCATGTTCTTCTACACAACATTGCTACAAACACACTCGATAACATTTTGATATACTATTCACTTGTTTTTTGTTTTGCTATCATTGTGAATAAGCAAAAATAAGAAATAGTAAGAAAAATTTATATAGTTATTTACTATGTTATTTCTTGTTTTATGGGAGTCAACCCTAGATAAGCATTTATTGCTAGGCTGACTCTTTTACTTTTTTTTGTGAATAAATGGAATTAAAAAAAAATTAAAAACAACTTTATTTTTAATCATCTAAACGGCAAGTGCACCTTGTGTGTTGTGTGTGGCGGGTGACAATCATTCATTTAAGTGCATTGACCAACTTATTAAAGAAAAAAAATGTAATAACTTATTACTTCCAATCTTTTTCCCATATTGATCGAATGACTGCAACTGCAGAGCCAGGCAGCTCCACATGCACCGTACCATCTCCATCTCGGTTCTCCTTCTTCCCATCAACGTCATTACAGCTTGATTAAACATGTTTTGTTTCAAATGAAATAATATTAATAATATTGTTATTGTTAATATTATTATTTGTCTATTTATAACTAGCCGATCACGAGTATATAAAGTAAGCATGGTTGAACAATGGGGGAGCGAGTAATTTTTCTTTATGTAACTCCACGCACGCGCAGTGTATAAAGTTGAAGACAATCCGGTCTGATGTTTGCTGCTGATGTGCTTTGCCCGCTCAATATATTCAATGTGCTCCTCTGTTTATATTCCAGGATTCACGAGTTTAATGGTTTCAATGTTGGTGTTCATCGGTGTTCTCTTAATGTGGAGATTTGATGGTGTTGTTGTCGTCTTGATGCTGTTATGTTGTTGTTGTCGTTGTGTTTTAGCGTTGTGGCCCAATGTTATTGTTCGGATTAAACGTGGATTGCCATCGTAGCACGGCTCTAAATTGTGGTTTAAAATAACGCTCAACTGTACGTTGTTACACCAAATATTCAAAAATGCAGGGAGTTGATTGGCTGGGATTTGATGGTAGGGTTGTTTACAATTTGTTATCAGCTTTTTTCGATTGTATAGTTTGATTTCAATTTTCAGTGTCACAAAATAACGTTGAAAACTGTTGTTAAATTTTTTTTGGAAATGTTTGAAAATTTTTTTAATTTCATGAAGCATCGTTAAATTGGAATTAATTTTTTTATGAATGTTCCTATATATATATCTTCATATCTTTTTGCATTTGTTGAGTTTTCCTCACTCATGTCAACAAAATATGTCATCAAATTTTTTTTTATTTTGACGCCTAACTTTTTTTTACATATCTGTTTAAACAATTTCAATTGCGCTCATTACTGCTGAAAAAATAATAATTATCAAATGATGCAAAAAAATATTTTAAAAGTTAATAATATAAATATATAAATGTTTGAGGTGAATGTAAAATTGTTGACAGATCCTGGAAGACTGGCGCTACATCGCCATGGTGATTGACAGGCTGCAGTTGTACACGTTCGTCGCCGTCACCATCGGCGGCACTGTCGGCATCCTCATCAACGCGCCACACATCTTCGAATTTGTGGACCAGGAAGAAATTAAGAAGAGCATCATCGGATCCACCGTTCGATGATCCCACGCGGTCCACCTCCCGTGGCACATCCCTGCTTGGTGCATCCTTCTATGTCACATCTCTCCATGGCACATCCCGTGTATAAGACATTCAAACACCTCACATCACCATTTACGTAGTTGTTTCTGTTTCTCTGAACTTATTTTATTATTTATAATAGTTACACCAAAAAGTGTATAACCGGTTGCCGTATTGTTTAAATAACGATGTGAATAGCAATATGATCAAGTTCAATATTTGCCAGCAACAACATAGAACTTCCACGTAGGATTTGAACTTTACCCTACAAATTTCAACATGGACCCCGAAGCACGTGCGTTACTCCTCTGACCAATATGCAACATCCACATGCAACATCCACATGCAACATCCACACGAAACATTCACATGCAACATCCACATGCAACATCCACACGCAACATCCACATCCAACATCTACATGCAACATCCGCATGCAACATCCACATGCAACATCCACACGCAACATCTACATGTAACATCCACATGCAACTTCCACACGCAACATCTACATGTAACATCCACATGCAACTTCCACACGCAATATTCACATCCAACATCCACATGCAACATTTACCTGGCACTTGTTAATATAATGAATAAGTAGTCAGCTCATTGCCTTCCTCTTTTTGGTAATGAAAAAATACGGCAGTTGTTGCAAATGTGGTGGAGTTTAAATATTTTCTGCATATACTTCAAGACCAGCCTGATGAATATTGTACATTTTCTAATGTGTTTTATCATTTTCTTTGCTATCTATCGTTTGTTATCAAGTTATAAATTTTATATTCAAATGAAAAATAACTTTTGTAAAAAAATGTAAGCTTTCCATCTGTTTCATACATTTGTTCTTGTTAGTTCATATTAGTTCAAGTTGGTTGTTGATGTTTTATTAATGTTGATGTTGGCAATGTGCAAATTTTGAACTTACTGCATTAAAAAAATTAATATAACATTCCATTTGTTTTTCATTACTTGAGGCATCAATTGTTGACATGATTCAAACTAATTTTAAAAATAAAAAGTAAAAAATATTAGTACCAGAAGTTTTCATAATATTCTTCAAATTTATGTACCAAAATATAAAAAAGTGAAAATTTATTTCCAGTGCTAATAAATTCAACTTTCACTTTTCATTTTAAAAAAGAACATATAAAGTCAATAACCAGCATCAAATTTCAATAGTTCGATTACTTACGGTAAGTACGGAGTTAAATTTCCTTGCTTCTTTTTAATTTATATCTCTGTTTTTTATTCAATTCAAACTTGTCAATCAACTATTCATATATCTAATCGCCTACACATCCATCTTTGCTTTCGCATATTTTTATATCTATTTTATCTATTTGTAGAAACATATAAAGTTTTTTTTATATAAATAAATATGTTTATATATATATATATATATGTTTGTAAAATATATATATTATCAGTGTTGTAAAATATTTAAATACTCAACAAACATTTGAATATTTTAGCAACCCTGTATATTATAAACAATGGAGAAAATAGAATTTTTCAGTGGGGGATGATTTCAACATTTTAAAGTTGATTATCTTTTTGGTGGGAGATAATTTAAAAAAATTTTAAGTTGATGACCTCTTTATTTTTGCTTATTTCAGTTCACTTTATTACTACAGTTTGCACAAAATCTTCTTCAATATTTTCTACTTTCATTTTCTGGTGGGGGTGGGGGTCCAAAACCAGCATTGGACAATAGTCGCTTCCTTTTTATGAGAACAAATAAATGAACAGATGGATGGGGGACTGGATGAATACGTAGAAAGAAGTATATAAAAAAAATGGTTATCCATACAGAGATGAATGAATAGATGGAAAAATGAATGAATAGATGGATGTATAGATGAATGTATAGATGGAGGAATAGATGGATGAATAGATGGATGAATAAATGGATGTATAGATGGATGAATAGATGGAAGAATAGATGGAAAATGAATGAATAGATGAATAGAAAGATGTATAGATGGATGTAAGGGTTCGTTCTTTAACTTTTATTATTAATTCAACTTCGCAACAAGAACAAGTGCGTTGTAACAATTTCTCTATTACAACGTAAAATACAGTTTGTAGTGTAAGGCAATTAACAATAAATAATAACCGACGTTATGAGTCAATATCTCTAATTAATTAATTAAACAACGTTATGAGTCAATATCTCTAATTAATTAATTATAACGTTTTAGAGTCAATATCTCTGTATATATATATATATAATTCACAATTCGTCGGTTCACGAATTCGCCAATTTTTCCTTCTGTTCGCAAATTCGCCAATTAGCCTGTTCCAGCACTAATTCTGATATCACACGTAATATTACAAAGTTCGAGTCTCCACGTCTCACGTAATATACTTCCGAGACTCCACAATAACTCTCGCGACGATAATAATTCCTGAACTGAAATTCTGAGCCTGTTGACTGTACCTTCCCAGCGCTTTTATAGACGTTTGGCCGCTATCACTCCCATGGTCAGAAACTGCGACAAGTTATTAATAACTCACGCAAACTGAGTTATTAATAATTATTTGACCTTGAAGGACAGTTAAAATATTTTTAACCAACTTTTTTTTAAACACTTTTTAACTTGCAATCACCACGGCCACGAGATATTATTTTCTTGTTTACTGGTTATAGAATTAAATCGTATAGCGCTACACTGAACCCTGACAGATGGATGTATAAATGGATGAATAAATGGATGTATAGATGGAGGAATAGATGGATGAATAGATGGGAAATGAATAAATAGATAGATATATAGATGGATGAATAGATGGAAAAATGAATGAATAGATGGATGTATAGATGGATGAATAGATGGATGTATAGATGGATGAATAGATGAATATATAGATGGATGTATAGATGGATGTATATATGGATGAATAGATGGATGTATAAATGGATAGATATGAACGGATGCATGATTGGGGGAATGAACTGATGAAATCCTTTTAACATCACTGAAGGTTTGATTTTTTTTAACCGGTCGCTAATCTTTTTTGCTCGTCATTTTGGTTTGCCCATTTTTCTAAATTTTTACAAAAATGGTTTGAGAAAAAACTCAAATAAAATTATTTTTTAATCAGACATAATTTCTAATATAATAATTTCACAAAAATTCATCATATTTTTTAATTATTTTAAAGTTATAACATAATTGAATAACACTTAACTCTCTGATAAGTAATCATTTATTCATTGTTATATCATTGTGTCCCATCATTTCATCATATCATAAACCCAAGTTCACATTAATTCAGCGACATTAACCTGCATGACGGTGCCTGCCACTGCACGTTCATTAGAAACTATTTCCCGGTCACCGAAGACAACCACACATATGCAATGCAATCCCATCTTCAATCAACCTTTCTACATGTTCACACTCCCACCTACTATTCAAATATAACTAAATCAATTAAATTTGTATTCAAATACACCTCATAAGATGCACATATCATATGGGCAAGTGACTAAGATCAAAATCATAACAAACGAAATTTATTTTTTTTGGAGACAAGGAAGATGCAAGAAGAAGAAGACAAGGCCCCCAGCAGCCAACAACACGCCTCCGATGTGGAACGTCACGTCAAAATCTTGACTCACGTCGTACACGAACCCTGTCGTGGGGGTGATGGTTCATGACAGACACTCATTCAAACTTTTCTTATCAAACGTTTTGGAATGTTATAAAATAATATCGATGATAACAATTTATCAGCTGCTTTAATCAGCTGTGTTTTATGGACCGTAAGGTTTGAAAAAATTATTTTCATAAATTTCAGACTTGCAGTCAATAAATAGATGAATACCTCAACCCAGAACCAAAATGTTTTGCACGCCTTATTTCCACCACTTGATTTTAATTTGTTTCAATTAAAAATTCTATCGAACCGGCCATCGGGGTGCCAATGAGCGTTGCAATCCCTCTGATCATCACCAGCACTCCAAATGCGTTCGTCAGTTTCTCCAGGCCTAGCAAATTGCAGAGGATCGGCGGGGTGACTGATATCCACGTGGCTATTGCAGGATTTGAAATTATCACTTCAGTTCAATTGTGCTTAATTTAACGATGGTGCAGTTTTTAAAGTTGAATCAATCAATGCTATTGCTCATCAAGATACAATTTAAAATAAAACAACGCATGGACAAAATTAAAAATGCTACTAACATATATTGACTTTTAAACAAATTTATTTATTGATTTCATAATTTAAATAATAGTTGACTGACCAACACAGAAGCCAAAGACAACAGCAAAGATGCAGATTGTTGCGAAGGAAGTAAAGAACGTGTTGAGCAGGCACATGACTCCAGCCAACGTAACTGCCACGTTGTGCATCAGCAGCGTGTTCAACCTCGGAATGTTTGCAAGAGTACCGGACAACAATCGGCCAACAATGTTGGCGATGCCTTTCCAATTTTTTTCAAAAGTATAATTTTTCTACAAATTTACAATAAATAAATTAATACGCTGCAGTGATGATACATCATTTGATTTTGAAGACCTCCATTGGACTCACTGAATTAACTTGTCTAAAGTCAACAAACGTTCGTTCAACGAACGTTTCCTAAACCTAACCCTGACGCTAGCTTACCCTTAATATTATTATAAAATTATATTTTATTTTTCCGAAATAGCTTAAAACTGAACGTTCGTTAACAAACGTTTGCTAGCTTTTCACAAGTCTAAATTAACATTATTCCAAATTTAGTTATTCGTTCATTTACTAAAAGGATTCACATTTACTTCTGCAAAATTTTTCGTTTTGTTGCGTGCGTTTAGTACTCGCAGTCAGGAATTCATAAAACTCATGTAGTTTTGAACTGTTATTATTGAAGGTCGTGCTTGCATCCACCTTGGTTTGCAACACTGTGTCCCTGGCTAAAAGGTCTGAGTTATATTGAGGAAAGTATTTGAAAGAAAAGTTTGAGTTCAAAAGACCAAAATATTTCAACAATTAAAATAGTAATGGATCGGGTAATAAAAAAGATGAAGATGCCCAGCAGTGTTCTTACGTATTGTGTCTGGATCCGGCTACACTTCGCGAAAGAGAACCCAACGATGTTTCAACGAGTTGCTATGCAGGCCCAGCAAGCGCCATGAAACGCAAATAGGACACAGTGAGACAAGTAAAAATACTGCTGGCCATTCACTGCATCCCTATTATCTCCAGCCGTTTCTATATTGCTGGATACCGATAGGCTGGGACGACAGAGTAAGGTTGAGGATCGGCGCAACTCTTCCTCATCATAAACCAAGTTAAGCGACCAAACTGACTGATAGCTATAAGCCCGCAACAATTCCAAATGGCTATAGCAATGGGCGTGTGGCGAAGCAGCAGGTTTGGATTCACTGGTCGAAAGCTGCAGTCACAAACCTACGCATAGGCGGCTCAGAGCATAAGATTGCTCTCTAATGGATTAAAGCAGCGGCAGAGTTTGGCAGCCCTTTATATGATCAGTCTGTTCACCTTTGTTGAGGAAGAGGTTAGAGAAAGTGCCTTAAACATAGTCTGCTTCACATACACCTTTGTCGACTCACCGCGGTTGACAAGAATCCTACTTAGTGGTCACAAGAAAACTAAACAATAAACGGACGTTTTGGATCCGGATCGACCTCGTCAGTCCCCTACGTGCTTACAGTCGCCGGTCTGTTGATCAAGATGTGGTCATCTCCGCACCAAATTTAAACTTAAATTACTTAAATTATTTAAAATATATTCTCCAAAGCATTTATTAATTCATACTGTAAATTAATTGATTTGGATCATTTAAGTCTGCTAAAATTTAACCAAACAATGCAACTGGAAGAATACAAAATTTCAGCCTAATCGAACTATAAGAAGTTATCGAAAAATCGATTACAAATTTGCTTATCGAAATAAACAAGCAAACAAACAAGCAAGCATGAAAAAATGTTGTTCTAACCTATGATTGAAATCAGGAAAGCTGCGTTGTTTTCAGATATGTTTAAGTAGATAGCCCTTTCTGCAATGTACACGAAAGGAATGTAAGCACCGATTGATGCAAAAAAATTTCCAACCAAAATAAGAGCAAAGTTTGGGTCTTTCAGCAAAGACATATCAGTCATCTTCAAATTATTAGCATTTCATATAAAGCTAAAAATTCATTACAATTTTAAATTGATACTTTAATATTACTGTACAACATCTACTTTTAAACATTGCCAACCTGAGTGAAAGTGTCTTTGAACTTTCTCGTCACCAGAATGCACTTACAGCAATAAACTTTTTCATCGCCAGTTTCTTCTTCTTTTGCTCCAATTTTGGGCAGGGAGGTGGTGCTTTTTGTATACTCAGCGATGTTGGCATGCTCGGAATATTCTGGAATGTTAAGAACGCTTCCGCTGTAAAAGATATCCTTTCGTTGCAGTGGAATGATCTTGTGCTCACCAATTGAGCACCCCGAAAACTAAAACATGTGGTTATTTATTTTACGATTGTATCAAGAAAAACAGATAACGTAAAATAATTAAAATGGTTTTTATGTTCTGCAAAGGTTTTAAACACAATGATATTTTTTAATTTCTGCATATTTAAATGAAAAAATTGAAATAAACAAAGAACATGAAAAATTTTAATGGATTTTATAAAGATAGCAACAATAAGCATCAAGAAGTTTTTGTAAAAAAAAAATGCATATAAAATATAAAAAAAAACAAAATAAACATTTTTAAAGCTGTTATTTTTAAACAAAATTTTTAGGTTAAAAATTAACATGTAGTGTTCACAAAGAAATAGCATTTATTTTAAAAGTAATCTGAAATAAATCATTTATTTATCAACGGTTTGTGAGAGTTTTTAATTGATACAAATACAAATATATGATACCCTTTTCGAATCTGTACGATTTCTGCGATATACTCGGTTTTCACCAACTATCCCTGCAGATGACTATCATGAGAATCGGTAACAAAAAAAGCATTTGAAATTTTAAATGAATATTTGTAAATTTTTATGAAATTTTTAACATCTGACTTACGTTACTAGAAACAACCTCATCAATTTTGTCGACGTCAACCTTACATTCCAAGTTGTTTGTTAGGAGCTGGAATTTTTCAGACTTTTCAACGTTGTTGTCGTCCTTTCTGTGAGTAACACTTTTTATCGGTCTGAGCAGCAGACCAAGAATGACTCCATTGAGAGATAACCCAGCTATGATGTACATCGCATTTTTCCAATCATAGATTTCTAGAAGCCACCTGCTGAACGGGGCGAAAAGAAACGTGCCAACACCTGTCCCACAGACAGCGATACCGGTGGCAAAGGCCCGTTTCTTGTCAAAGTAATAACTTACACAAACAACCATTGGTAAGTACATCAGACCAAATCCAATACCTAATTATTAATACATTTTATATGAATGAGTTTTTATACAAATGAGTTCTTATGTAAATAAGTTTAAAAAAAAATTAAAAGTCTCATAAACCCTTTCAATGTTTAAAGGAATCAATACAAAGCCAAACGACGCATCACACCCAAAGCATGTGATATGAAGGAACTCTTTCGTCATATTCTAGCCTGATCATTACAGGCACTGCGATACAGCAACAGGTAGCTTTAACCACTAGGATATCGTGCCTTCAAAGTTTATTCTATATGCACTTTGAAACTTGTTTAGAAAAAAAATTGGCAGGTTATTTTATGGTATGGTATGGGTGGGTATGGGTTACGGGGGCTTGGTCCGGTTGGCGTGGTTCGAACACCATCTTTACTAAACTCATGTCTATCGTACGCGTTGTGTTGTGGGATGTGGCATATAAGCAGCTCTGTGTTTGTCAGAACTGCATATTAAAAACTAAAAATAAAATTCACGCAATCTCAAAGCTTTTATTAATTTTTAATTTCATTATTTTTCGGTTTTTTGTTTAATTAGAGTGTTTGATCATTTCGAAGGTATCTCTATTGAAGATTTAGAAAAAACTAAATCAGTCATCAAATAATTATACAGTTTTTATCCATCCCCAACATTTCATGGGGAAGAACAACTAAATATTTTTTTGTTCTTTTTATGTTTTCTAACAAGCAAATCTCTGCACATATCGGTCATTTCCAAATATAAAGAAACTGCTATACTGAAACCAAAGTTTAAGGTGTGCTATTTGGTACCACCCAATGTATTTAGCAACTAAAGACTTTTTTCGAATCTTACTTACATCTCAAAAATGACAAAACAAAGTGTCACTGGTTATCTCCTCAACTATCTAAACAACTATTCATTTTTAAAACTACTACAACCAGTTCAACCACCGCAAAACTTGAGTCCTCTGTTGTACACGTAATTTATGAAATCTACCGAATTTTGAGCGTTATATATATATATGTATATGTGTGTGTATACATATATATATTATATATACATATATGTAATTATTGATGAAAATCACAGCATGCTAGGCGTTAGTTAACTTCCTGTTTAACTTTTCATGGCATGCAAAATATTTGCATGATTTTTGCATGATTTTTAAAAGATTTTTACGTGTATTTTGATAACTTTTTGTTGCAACAATGACGGGTAGAAATACAAAGAGTGCCAACAAAGCAGCTGCTTGTGATAAGGAAGGCATTAATGTAGTGTGACGATTGTTCGGTGACGTTCTTGGTTCCAAGCATGTATGATGAAGCACTTACTTCAATTATAGCATTCAGCTGCGTAAGAATTTTTTGTTTTGCATGTTCTGGCTCGTCACCTATCGAGAGAATTGTCTCCGAAAAAATTGAAGCTGGCAATTCAACAGTATTTGATGAGATGAAAAAAATGAAAAAATTGGATATTAAACAGCAGATTGACGCCGTCAAAACTATTATTGATGAGGATGATGGTAAACTTTCGAGAATGGATGCTTCTGGGTCAAAGTTATGAGATGAAATGTTGGTTTTGAAGCGTCAAATGAACAGATCTTTTTTGGTAGTTGTCAAATCTGAAGTTGGTAGAAGTTTGCGAGCAATCAATAATGATGTGAAAAGTGTTCAAATAACGCTGAACAAGGTTGTCGAGGCAAAGAAGAGGAAAGCCAACATAATGCTACTCGGATTGAAGGAAGGTGCTGATGATGATGACAGGGTTCATAAAATAATTAACCATTTAACTGATGGAGTTTTTGGTCTTAAAAATGTCTTGAAGGTGATACGATTAGGAAAGAAAGGAGACAAAATTGTCAGACCAATTTTCCTCAGATTTGACGATGCAAAAATTAAAGAACTTATCTTCAAAAATATACGTAGGATGAAAACTTTAGATGATAGTTTGAAAAATATTCGGTTAAGTCATGACCTGACAATTCAACAAAGGAGCGAATTGAAAAAATTACTTGATGATGCCAAGAGGAAGAAGGAGAGTTGCAAAGAGGGTTTTTTATATCGAGTCATAGGGGAGGTCGGGAAATGGAAGATAGTTCAGTTTTTTGCAAAAAAAGACTCAAAGTAGTCGATAATAATGACATGGATGACAGAAATCAAAATGGCAATATTATGTTTGGGTTACTTAACGTCAGGTCAATTATGAAAAAGGTTGACACTGTTCATGAGTTGATTTGTGATGGTTTGGATGTCATGGTGCTGACAGAAACTTGGCATGGATTGGATGGTAATTTTGCAATTGGTTTGGCAAAGCCGCCTGGGTTTCAGTTTGTTGATTATATAAGAGAGCATGATCCGGGTCATGGTGGTTTGATAGTTTACTTTCGCAAAGAGTTCAAACATATAAAAAGTTAACTTTGCCATTGATTAGTACGTTTGAATCTATCGCAATCAGATTATCAATAAATAAAAGCGTATTCATCTTGCTAGCTATGTTCAGACCTGGCTCAGCTCCAATAACAGTTTTGTTTTATGATGAACTAGTTTCAATCTTGGAGTAACTAACAATTTTAAACTCAGACATTTTATTGATGGGTGATTTCAATATGCATGTTGAGAGAACTGCTGATCCCCAATCTATTCGCTTAAAAGAAATATTTGCTATATTTCAATTTGTAAATCATGTCAACGTTCCTACACATACCCTAGGAGGTACATTGGATTTAGTTGTAAATTCGCATGACTTTCCAGTACTTAATGCTAAGATCTATCCTAGTGGAATAATTTCGGATCACAGTTTCATTAAAATAGAAACAATGATTGTTCGGCCAGCTTCTAAAACAGTGATGAAATCAGTTAGGTCATGGAAAACAGTAAATGAGGAAAAATTCATTGGTGCTATTTTAACTTCACCAGTATCAAAACCATGCTGTAGTGATGACGTCGAAAAGGAACTAACAATGTTTAACAACGAGTTAAAGAGTATTGTTGATAGATTTGTGCCTGTTCGATTAATCTATGATAGAGGTGAGCGTATGGCACCATGGTTTGATAATGATTGTAAAAAAGCTAAACAAACATGTAGAAAAATAGAAAGAAGCTTCAGAAAACTGTCGACAGATGATCACCGTAATAACTGGATAACTTCCATAAAAGCAAGAACCAAATTATATTCTGACAAACGTTCAAATTATTGGAGAAATTGGTCAGCAAAAGCTTGAGAAATAAATGGCAGGCAATTAATATGGTGTTGTGTAGAAACAAGAAAAGTTTAATGTTCGATAGTGATGTTGGTATTACAGCCCATCATTTGTTATAGTTTTTCACTGAAAAAGTTAGCAAAATCGTTCAGTCTATCAAAGTTTCTACTCAATCAACAGATGATGGTGGGCCACACAATGCTGTTATGTTTTCATCTTTCCCGATGGTCAGTGAAGATGAATTGAAAGATATTATAATCAAATCCCCGTGTAAAACAAGTTCACAGGAGTCATTCCAACTCACATCTTATAAAGTATTTGAAATTTTTCATCAAATTTCTCACCAGCTTTGTTAATTGCTGCTTTCAATCAGGTGAATTTCCCTCCTCTTTCAGGTAAGCTGTGGTTCTCCCCGTCTTGAAGAAAACAAGTTCTGATGTAAATGATGTTAATAATTACAGACCGATATCGAATCTTCCATTCATTTCAAAAATTATGGAACGTGTAGTGGTTAAAAGTTTTTTGAAGTTTTTATCTGAAAATAACCTACTGCCTTGTAATCAATCCCGTTATAGGCAGTTCCATTCTACTGAAACAGCATTGTTACATGTTTTGTCTGGTTTGTTTTTGGCGATGGACGTCCAGCACTTATCGTTGTTATCGTTTTTAGACATGTCAGCAGCATTTAATTGTGTAAACCATGATGTTTTGCTGGCAAGACTACGTAACGATTATGGACACAGTTTATAAATGGTTCAGGTCGTATTTGACAAACCGAACACAGCAGGTTTCGTTTAACAATTCAGTGTCTGATGTTGCCTTGGTAACAACAGGTGTGCTACAAGGATCAGTTCTGGGACCAATTATTTTTATTTTGTACACAGCAGATATAATCAAGATAATTTCCTTTCATGGATTCACTTGTCAAGCGTTTGCCGACGACATTCAGGTTCTAGTCATTGGTCCTCCAGGTTCGTTTCGTGATGAAGTTGATAGATTTGTCCAGTGTTTGAAAGAGGTTAGATATTGGGTGTCATCAAACTCGCTTAAGCTCAATGAATGTAAAACCCAGTTGCTACCGGTGGGTACGTGGCAGCAGTTGTCAAAACTAGATTTCTGTTTTGTTGAGATGGGAGATGTAAAGATATCATTATCTGCAACTGCATCAAATTTGGGAGTTTTACTTGATAGCAATTCATCGATAAAAGACTACATTAAGAAAATATATACATCAAGTAATATTTATTTAAGAAACATTTATCGAATCAGACATTCATTGGATAGATCGGCATTGGTGACGCTGATTCATGCTTTTATAACATCGCGAATTGACTACTGCAACAGTCTGTTTTAAAAACTTTCAAGAAGGTCAATTGCTCTTCTTCAGTCGATTCAGAACAGGGCTGCAAAATTGGTAACTGGCAGGATGAAGTTTGATCACGTGACGCCCATCCTGGAGGAACTACACTGGTTGACAATAGATAAAAGATTGCTGTACTTGTGTTTAAATCACTGAATGGGATGTCATCAGAATATCTCGTGAACAAATTTTCAAAAAAAATGTCTGCGTCGTCTCATCTACGGTCAGATGATATGAATTTGTTGACAATACCGGTTTCACACTTGCAGATTGGTGCACGGAGTGTCTCTGTTGCAGGTCCGACCGTGTGGAACAGCTTGCCACAGTCATTGCGATCATCCGGACATTTAAAAAAGAACTAAAAACATATTTGTTCACTGTTAAACTTTGATAATTTTAGTTAAGTTTTTTTTTCAATTTTTTTTTCTTATTATTAGTATTGTAGATTTCTATGTTTATATAATTACGATAGCGCCTTTGAGAACATTAAATTGGCGCTATATAAGTTTCTTATTGATTGATATATATATATATATATATATATATATATATATATATATATATATATATATATATATGGGTATAGATGCGTGAGTGCGTGTGTGTGTTTGTGTGTGAGCGGGAGTGCTTGCGTGAGAGTGTGTGTGGGTAAGTGTGCGTGAGTTTGTTTGGGTGAGTGTGCGTGTTTATGTGTGTGTGAGTGTGCGTGTGTCTATGTGTGTGAGTGTGTGCATGTGTATGTGTAGATATGTGTATATATGTATATAAATATTGTATTCTAGGAGCGTTAACCAGGGTACAGCGGGGGTGTATGTGGAGGGGCACATATCTATGTGTAAGATGTCCATTCACTCGGCTGTCCCCTGAGACATGTGGCCACGCCCTATGTGTGTGGCCATATTTATTTATGTGTCTATTTATTTGATTGTGTAAGTGAGCGTATGTTTCGTTTCCAGATCATTTCATTTCATCGATTCTGTTTCTTCAGTTCTGTATAACAGTATTGTGATATGAATTGTAGTATGGTGCGTGTTTGTAAGTATGTGTGAGCGTGAGTTTATGTGTATGTATTTCATGACATTTTTGTTACATCTATAGTTAGAAATTTTAGTTAAGGGTGGCCTATCCACAAGTTTATCTTTTTTGGTCATCCTTCAAAAATAAATAAATAAATAAAAAAAAATAAATATATATAAGTTTATGCATGATATAACAAAAAAGCTTTTTTCGGTTTTCTTATACCATCTTCGGTGTTCGAAGATGGTATAGGAATAGCTTTTTTGTTCTATCACGCATAAAATAAACAAAAATTTTAGTTTTGAACTCAAGAAACTTGAGAATGATTTATCAACCGTTAGAAAAATATAAAAATTGAACAGAGAGTTAACTAACGCCGAACATGCTGTGATTTTTATAGATAATATATATATACCAGCTTAGTGTAATTATTTAATAGTAAATAATATTTAAAACTAAGATGTTTTTAAGTAATTTACAGAAACACATTTTGGTCGATAGAGACGTACTTTTACTCTGCCGGATAAAAAAATTAGTAATTCGACTTGAATCTACAAGTACGTGAGTTTATAAAGGGGGAGAATTTCCTACCATCAAAATTGTTATAAAATTGCAAATGTAAGCATCTGGTTATAATAAAGTGGTTTATTTAATAACAAATTTAAAATGATAAATAGAATCGTTCACCTCCTAATATGCCATAAACAAACATCATGCACCCAATGCTTGGTGAAAAAGTGCAGAGGACAAATGACATCGATACTACAAGACTCCCAGCAACCACCACTGCTCGACACTCATATCTTTGAACGAGAGCTGCTGCCACAGGAGCTAAATCATAAGAAGGATTGTAAATTATAATTTAACTTTTAAATTATAATGTAGTTAGTTTGGCGGCGAGATGGTGTTATGGTTAGGGTGCTAGTCCTGCAGTTTGCAGTGAGTGGGTTCTAACGCCAATCACGTGCTAGGTGTGCTATGTCTGAGAAATGTAAGAGAGAATTGAAGATAATAATAATAATATTTTGCAGTATGTTTGTAATATAGCAGGCATTCGTTTGTAATGGTGTGTACCAGCCGAAAATCAGACATTTCTATTCAATAAATTCAATAAATAAAAAGTTTAGTAAAACTTCTAGAAATTAAGATAAATTGAAAAACTTTATCGCATGTTATCATGTTATGTAAGTTAGATGTTATTAATGTTGACGTTGAATACCTTAATGTGATCCAAAAAATGTAGAAATTATTTATGTAATATAATACTTTGCTGTATATATAGGCTGTGTCATAATGTTATATGTAATGCAACGCTGATGCATGTGGTTGTTGTTAACGTTGTAAATACATAAATATAACAAAATGTTCGTCCATAAATATGATAATGACGCAATAATAATTAGCATAATAATAATTATTATTGGCAACTCGGTAAAATTATCACATTGGGAAATAAACATTAGATGTCAAACTTCCACTTAGCGCTATATAAATGTTGATACTAATTATATACAAAGTGTTTAAAATACAATTTCATACAAAAGATTTTTAGCTAAACTAAACGCATGTGAAATAAACGATATTGTTTTTCAGATAGACCCGCTACACAAACCGAAAACAAAATGCGATCAAGAACAGATCTTTAAGACGTACCAGAAGACTAGCAGACCCCAGCAAAGAGTTTACCTCAGAACATAATCTGCTGGCTCTGCCTGAAAGAACTGACGTTAATCGATAATCTGACTGAACTCCTGGCAACAACTGATAAAAATTGAAGTGGCCAATCAAACAGCAATGAACCAAGCGCTTAAATATCTTTAAGAGGACGGAGAGATTTTAGATGGGTCAGTAATTTTTGGTGCCGTTAATATGAAGACCAGCATTTTTTACCAACAGTCAACCGGGCCTTTTTGAGCCAGACAGAAAAATGCCACTAGCAAAAGTTACATTAATCTCCAGTTCATAAAACGGCAGCAGAACCTCTAGCGGCTCTATGGGAATAGCTGTAGGAACAGTTTCTGTAAACATTTATCAACTCATTAGCAGTACAAAGACTAAAACAGCATACGCTATCAAACCAAAAAGACGAGAAATCTAATAGAGTACCGTTGGAAGTGTCAGCCCTAACAGTATTGGCCTTATCAGTGATAAGGATTTAAACCGTTATATTTTAAAATTTAGAATAGCTATTTGCATCAGTAATAATAGATAATTGAAGTCAGTGTGAATGTTTCCTGGTCAAATTCCAGGTAAAGCAGTATAGATCGATTTTTCGTTATGCATTCAGTACAGTCCAATTTTTATTCTTAATTCATTGGTATACGATTAACACAAAACAATTATAGTTAATCTCATTTTGTTTAAAAAAATTTTACATATTTTTTCATGAACGTCAATCTAGAAAAATATTTAACATTTAACAAAATTTAAATTTAACATCTGGAAGGGAGGGAGATGGAAAACCACTTTGCTCCCCGTAAGACGAGGTCTACGTGTGTTCTAGATAAATTGTGCTTAGATATTTTAATCATATTTTGTTACGTAGTTTTCTATAAATTTTTTGAAGCGCTTGCAGTACTAATCATTATACATTCTACACATAACATATATATAGAATATGTTATTCTACATATATGTACAGTGTACACATAACGTATTTTTAAATTATTTAAAGCGCATCTCTCTCACGCTAGAGTTCAAGTGTTTACAACTTCACTCACGAATATTCTGTTTACTGGTTGAGCACGTGCTTCTCTGACTTGACAATTTTCGGTTTACTTTTATCCTGATTGGTTAGTTGCCTTCTGACGGTTCAAATAAGTAAATAAATAAATACGAAGTGTTAGCTGTCTGAAGTGTTAGCTGAAAAGTCGGATCAGGTTTTCTGTAATTGTAATCTCTTTATTTTTTTAAAATGTAAGTTGTTCAGTTAGATGATTTTTATAATTTTTTTATTTGATTTTTAATGGGTTGATTGATTTTAATTTGACTTACATTTATTTATTATTTATTTATCCGTTATCGATATTATTATTTTATAGATTCCATATTTGCTGTTTCACAGCATTATTTTTAAGTTAAAAAAAGCAATGCTTGAAAGTTTTAAAAGTTTAAAATTTGAATTAAAATGCTTCAAAAGTTAAAACTTAAAAGGGCAAAACTTTACATTCAGGACTACAACATTTGTTTACATTCACTATCTCTAATAGAGAGTTAAATAAGCTCCTCCTACTGCAATTCGAAAAGTACATTGAGATTAACATTAAAATAGATGCATGCGCTTTTGCGTGTATAGGTAGATAGATTTTTTTAATGATTTGTTTTTTATATTTATATGTTTTTATTATAATTTGCACGTATAATTTGGTAAATTAAACCTTTAATATGTTTTTATTATAATTTGTACATATAATATTACACATATAATTTAGTAAAATAAACCTTTTATATGTTTTAAATTGTTTAAATCACTAACCCTAACCTACCTGGTCAATTTGCTGTATGCAAACAGACAAATGTCACAACAATAATTGAACCAATCAATAGTTGTTTTTTCGTTTATTTTTTGTTAGCGCTCGACCAGGTCAGTAAATGTCACGCCATCGTAATGCTTTCCTAAATATTACAACATTGATTTATAATTTAAGGCTTAAATTTTAACATTAATCTAACGTTTTTCTAACCTAATGTTTTTCGAAATATTATAACATATATTACTTGTTATTATAAGTCATTATAAGTTAATGCTTAAACATTTATAAATTATAAAATTATTTAATTAATATATTACTATGTTAACTTATTTAAATACGAAATAAATGTTACTAAAAATTTTCTATCTTTTATTAATTTATTTTTATCTCAATCAACTTTCTGCATATTAGTAGGAGGTGCTTTTGTAACTTTCTATTAGAATTAGTGATAGTGATGTAAACAATCGTAAATGTAAACAAATTTTAACATTATAGTCCTGAACGTCTATCATGATATATAAATACAAATACGGTTAGTAGTGCTCCTGTCAGTGCAATGTGCACTGTAACCGATAGCTATTGATTACTTTTATTATTTGTGCGCTATGCATATTTGTCCTGCTTTTTGTGCAACTAAAAACCAGTAGTGAAATATTTAACAAAACAGTGTATTTTTAATATTAAATTTTAAAATTTGAAGCCAAAGATAATATGCATGGGTACTCACTTTAGCTCTATTTTTTTCTTCATGCTTCTAACACAAATACACCAATAAAACCATTTTTTAAACTTATTGCAATTTTAGTCATGATTATGATTCTAGCAAAACACATCTCAAAAATTTTAAATGCCAACATTTTATTTAATTTGTTAATTTGCGATATCAGTGATGATTATGATTCAAACAAAACAACAGATGACAACGCAGACTGTCTATTTAATTTAACTTTATATTGTTGTCATATACTGGATATATACATATATATAAACCAGTAGTGAAATATATATATATATATATATATATATATATATAAACCAGATTTAAAATATATGTTTACCAAAACACATGCAAATCTATGTGCACTAAAAAAAAGTATGCATTAACAGGTCGTCCAGTGCATAGCACACTGACTAGCTTTTACTTGAAATTCAGCACTAAGTACTCATGAAAAATTACTATGTTCATGTTAGATACTACAGCATATCTTTTTTGCTTCATTAGTGGTCAACAATATACAGTGTATTCATGAAAATTTACTAGGCTCGTGATAAAATATCACAACTTTTTTTTTACTTAGCTAATGGCATTTATGTACCATTTTATAACATTTATTGCATACAATATACTATAAATTACTGGGTCCGAGGTAAATGTCATCCCTTCTCTGGTTTAACCTCCTAAGTGCATGATCATAGTTTAAGTTTGGGAAGAAAAGGGAGAACTGAATTTTTTTACAGCATTTACAAATTTGAAAATGTATATTGTTTCATAAAGTTTTGTTTACTGTGTCTTTAGCAATTTAGCAATTCTTCAACAGTTCAGCAGCCTTGTTTACTGATTCATCTAAAATAAACTAATTTGTTTAATTTGAGTTTTGTTGAGACAAAATTTAACCTTGGGGTTTTTCGAATATTACTTATTAAAAAACAACTTTTTAACCCCTTCCTTCCCTTCTCTCTGTAACGCTTCCACAACAAATGCCACTTGACATAAAAAAAATTTTAATCTACCTACCAAACTCTGATTTTATAAACTTTTTTCAAGTTCTTTTATTAGATTTTTTCAAAAATTAAATAATTAAAAATTATTTCCAAGAAATATTTATCATTCAAAATTATTATCAGTATTTCATCATGACACTATTCTAAAATTTTTAAATTTAATTAAAAATGAATGATAAATTAAATTTTCTATAAATAAAGACGAATATCAAACTCCCAGCTGGAGCGTTACATTTTATTTGAACAGTTCCTATTTTATTATCTAATGTAATATGCTTGCTTTCAGGGTTGATACTTATTTTTCAATCAATTAATGGTTCTTAGTTTGCCCAAGTCTAAAAGGTAGGATGGTATTTGTTATATATGCAGGGAAGGTTAAGTTGCAGAGTTAAAAGAGCTCTTGAGTGATAAAACTAGATAGCAGAAAAGCAGAATTCATGTTCAGTTTTCATTATTTAAGCCTGTTTAAATCATACTAAAATATTACTCTATTGTTCTCGTTGGTTGTTTTAGTTTCAGATGTTATAATTTTTCTTTTGTTTTTTCAGCTCATTGTCTATCCATGGCACCAAAAAGCAAAAAGAGAAAATTCAATAAAGTAGACAAGGATTTGAATTCTTATAAGGAGGCTGATCCTGATCCAACTTCAGAGGACTTTTTGTATGATGATGTTGACAAATTTCATCTTGATCAAGAAAAGATTTTGTTATCAAAAACTAATTACTATGATAGGAGATCAGATTCAAAAGTTACAGATGAAATCTTGGGAGTTGCTTCCGATAGTGATGAGGACGATGAGAAGATAGAGGAATACGAACGACAGCTGAAGAGATTCAAAGGTTATGCAGATTACGAAACTCAGGAGGTGGACAAGGCATCGGACAACGAGGAAATGCCACAGCTGGAAGACGACCTGCCATCAGATGCTGATGATGATCAGTTGGAGGAAAAAGAGGCCCTGCAGCTTCAAAAAAAATTGAACAGTTATTTAGATGAAAATGATTTTGGTTTATCACTAATTCAATCTGCATGCAGTAATGTTTCTGAATTTAAAAATATTCAAAATAATTTATCGGATTTAACACTGAAAGAAAAAAAAGTATTGTTGCTACAGGAATCCCCGGAATTGTTCAAACTTATAGATGAGCTGAAATCCAAACTTTCTTTGATTTTAAAGGTTTATTCAAACTTTAAAGCCCGAAGTGATGGTACAAGTAAATTTCATTTAAAATTATTGTTGGACTATTGTGCCAACTTGAATTTTTATCTAGCTCTTAAATTTCAAAGAGAAGATGTAACAAATCACCCAGTCATTGACAGAATTTGTTATTATAGCGATATATTAAAGTCATTTGCCAAAGGTGCATTGGTCTCGATGACTTCTAAAAATATCAACAAGTCAGCTGAACTGTCTTTCCTTGCTGACGAGTTTCAGAAAATTGAAGATGATGTTGAAGATGGTGATGAAGTAGTTGATACAAGAAGAGGTATAAACAAAACGATAGAAAAGAACAGAGGCCTGACACCCCATAGGAAAAAAGAAAACAAAAATCCACGTGTGAAGCATAGAAACAAGTATCGTAAGTCAAAGATTAGAAGGAAAGGTCAGATTCGTGAACCTAGAAAAGAATTAGTGAAATATAGTGGAGAGATATCGGGGATTAAACCAGGAATTAAAAGGGGTATAAAGATGAAGTAACACTGATTAGAATAGATATTATTAGACATGTCCCTCCAAACAATAGATTTAGAAATAATTAAGATGTAATGTGACTAACCTGTCAGCAAACAAGTTCCTGTTAAGAGAGATCCAAGACTTGCTGTTAAACTTTTGCTGGATTTGAAATAGTCTAGAAACTCGATGTAAAATATTCCAAACGTGAATGTGACACCATCTATCAGTAGATGTGACATGAATGATGCAAAAACAATGACCCATCCATACCCTCCATCTGGTGGGGTGCTCACTTCTACATTTACAACTTTATCATTTTTTTCTTTTGGATCTTCTTTCTTAACATGTCTACCATTGTTTTTGTTGATTTTTGAAGTCATTTCAATAAATTGTTATATGAAAATTAATTTAATTTTCTTGTTAACATGTGTAAATAAATATATACAAACATGATTCCAAATTCGACTGCGTTTAGATTGTACACTACAATTTTTATCAACAAAGATATCTGATTATTGCATTAGTTTCTTATGTTGCTTGTTAAATAAACGTGATACAATATCGTTGAGTGCATACGATTAGATAAAAATAAACAACTACTTAAAAGCAAACATCTTGAAATCTCTTGAAAAATGAACTCTGTATTTGTAAAAAATGTTGTTACAAAATTGTTTTGTCTTTTATTTTATCTAGAGGTTTACAATACTAAAATCTGGTAAACGGAGCATTCTCTCGCAGAGCGTTTTTTTCTAGAACGAAACGATGATTGTGATTGTTAGTTATGGTTTGCGTGAAGCTTTTTTGGCTACGTCCCGTTTAAGCGCTGTTTTGCGTATCAGAACCATGTTCGTCAACCGCTTGACGCCAATTTTGGTTCCTTCAGCTTCATGGATTTAATCACGACAACAGGCATGAGTTATATCTAAAATTTTATATTTAAAATGCCATTCATTATGTTGAAAGTTTTATTTGTAACTAGATTACCCGGCAGACTTCGTACTCCTTCAATCGATAAATAAGACCTAAACTTTTGTATAAAATAACTTTAAAAGAAAAAACGAATCCGTATTTAATAAAAAAGCTTATTTTGAATGAAGCATGTAATTTTATTATTTTTTCGACACATCATGTTGGTTAAATAAAAAATAGGGTTTTCTAGCTAGGTGGCCCGACAGACTTCGTACTCCTTCAATCGATAAATAAGACCTAAATTTTTGTATAAAATAATTTTAAAAGAAAACGAATCCGTATTTAATAAAAAAGTATATTTTGAATGAAGCATGAAGTTTTTTTATTATTATGACACATCATGTTGCTTAATTACAAAATAGTTTTCCTGAAATACTGGCTATTTATAATGTTCAAATTTGATATTGACAGACACATGTTTTGTGAAGGTTTTCCGACGCGCGAACACGCAACATATAATCATCCATGCGCGAAATAGAAATTTTAAATTGATTCTGCAAACTTCTAACGATTGTCCTTGCGATTTATTTAAGGTCATCGCAAAGGCCAGACGTACTGGAAATTTTAGGCGTTTAAAATCAAATGGTAAATCCGTTGGAATCATCGGTATCCGCGGGATCAAGACATTCTCTCCTTTGTATTTTCTTTTTATGACTGTTGCCTCAATGACGTTATTCGTCTGCTTTTTTACAGCCAGCCTTGTTCCATTGCACAGTCGAGGTTGATTAATGTTATACTGCACGATGACAACTGACCCTATTTTTAACTGCAAATTGTGAGGTGGTAATCCAGACAATTCCAGTAAATTAAAAAAAATCTGTGGGATAGTCGACTAAGTCATTCTGGTTCATAACGGTGTCGACTGATTTAAAGGAAACCAACTGTCCGGGAAGAAAATTCTGAATGGTCGCATTGAGATCCTCAACATCTTTATTTTTTGCCGCCAATATTGCTCGTTCACCCAGCCAATCATGGTTATTAAACTTTTGCGCTATATCTGCGAAAACACGCTGAATAAGCTCCTCTTTTGAATCTGTGATGTGGCAGAAACCTGTGGGTAACGTGATGAATCCGGTCGAGGTGTCCACTACAACTTTATTATTTCTAATGTCTAACAACTCCTTCGCAAACACATTTGCAGTTTTATCTTGTTGCAAAAAAACTCCGATGTTAGTTGTTAATTGGAGTCTTACATACTGCTACAAATTCGATGATTTTAGGCATGCATTTAATTCATCGGCAACATTTGATCGAGGAATAACTGGAAGAGTCTGACGAAAATCACCTGACAACAGAATCATGGCTCCACCAAAAATATTTTGGTTCTCACGAAGATTTTTCAACGTTCTGTCCAGTGCCTCAAGTGACTTTTTATGGGCCATTGTGCATTCATCCCAAATAATCAATTTGCATACCTATAGGGTATTGCCATTGCACTATTTTTGGCGATGTTTCAAATTGGTGTTTCGGTGATTTGCATGTTTAATGGTATTTTCAATGCAGAATATGCAGTTTGCCCGCCTTCTAGCAAAGTCGCAGCTATTCTAGATGAAGCCAAAGCTAGAGCAACATCATTTTGCGATCTAATCCTTGCCAAAAGCAATAAAATTAGGAACGTTTTTCCGGTTCCCCCGGGAGCATCAAGGAAATAAATTCCACCAGATATACTATTCCCAGCTTCTATCAAAGTGTTGTACGCAATTTTTTGTTGTTGATTTAATTGTGGAACATTTGTACGAACTGTTACGGCCAATGCTTCAATGTCGTACTCTTCTTCTCTTTGAAACTCGTGGTTTAATGCATCGTGTATATAACGATTTGGTGCTGTCATTACCAAACACGACAATACTTTATTTGCCATCAATAAACACATATCTTCTACCATGGTCAATGTCTCATTGTAAATTTCTGCAGTCATATTTAGTGCAGGGTAAGATTCAAGGTTTGACGGCGCACACGATGACAACAGCCACTTCGTAAATGGTAGGTGAATAAAACCTCCTTGTATGTTCACCGGCAAATTTTTTGTCAGATGGCATCCGGTCCAATGCTTTTTTAAACATGTTTACTAAATTGTTATTTTGATGAACATTTGTAATTCATGGACAATGGTTCTCTTCACTGTTGGACTGTGAACACAACGATTATCAACTTCTGCATCTGAATTTCCCATAAAATAAATTTGTAAAAATTGATAATCTATATCAAATACTGGTAACAGTGTCCTCAGTAAGTGACAAATTTGTCCTTGTATCCGAAATTTTCAAAAATTTGTCGATTCATTATTTCCGATATATATATATATATATTTTAGAACATATCAAATATTATAAAAAAAATATTCTGGTATAATACCTTGAAAGTGTCCTGTATAATATTTGTAGCGCTAAATGATGTCATCTGAAAACTGCTGTTATATTTCTGAATGTTGGCCAAGAAGTGCTTAGAATCATTTCCAATCCAAGAAACTAATGATCGTAAAGAATCTGGTTGTGGGACCAGTTGTGGCAATTTTACTTTGCCTCTAGCACAGCATAATCCAGTATACTCGTGAGTGTATTTTAACGCCTTACGATATTTACAGATTATTTTTATTTCCCCAATTGTTACCGATTTGTCGACACAATAATCAATTGCCGGATCATGGTAGAAGACAGCTCATTCAAGAATCACAGGAGCATTCCATCTGCGAATTCGCTCAATTTCATTATGTCGTGCTTGCTGTTGTTGTGTTTGATATGCTCGAACTCGTTGCATTCTAAACCTATCTTCATTACCACTTACTGAATAACGCAATTCTGATACAGCAATACGACTATTTTCATGATCTGTATCTCTTTGGTCGTTAGTGCGGTTAGCACCTGAGGTAGCTTTTCACACATTTGATTGACTGCGACGACCTAAATCAGGTCATGTTCTCCGACGGCATCGTAAATTGTAAATAATCAAAGTGAGAAAATTTCTTGCTCACTTAGCAGTAGTGTCAAAATCACAAAATAGCCAAAAAAAGAGCACATTACTCTAATGTCACTATCACAAAGGATCAACAAAGTAAAGAAAGTTCTCGTATAAATAGATATCGTAACACAATATTGTAATACTTTTTTCCGTGTTCTAAAGTGCGACAGCATGGATTGACATTGGATAGAACTTTATTGAATTTTAAATTTTGAATATTATATTTTAAATATTATATTTTATAATATCACTATCACAAAGGATCAACAGAGTAAAGAAAGTTCTCGTATTATTTAATCAATATCTGCTGTTTTAGGATTTTCCCAACAATTATTCAAATTTTTCTCATCTTTTAAATCTTTACTAGACTTCCACGAACATTTCAAGACCAAGATAAGATAAATCCGTTCAGCCGTTCCCAAGTTTTAGCGAGACTAACGAAGAGCAATTGATTTATATATATATATATATATATATATATATATACACTGCATGATAGTTTGAATTGTGTGCCGCTATTAATGTTGATGTACAACGTCCTATTGACGGATCTAGAAAACTATAGAGGAGGCGGGGCAAATTTTTTCAAAATTTGAGCGGGGAAGCCGAATTTTAGAAAATGCTTTAATGTTTTGACGGAGGGACCAACAATTGTGACCGATTACCTTTTTTGCTTTTCAAGTCATTTTTTGCCAAAAAGTCACTTTTTCGGTTAAAACTGTTTTACTGCCTTTTAAAACAAAAATTGCTCCTCACAACGAGTTAGGCATTATTCGCAACACACACACATACATACAACATGAAACACATACACACACTCCCACCCGTAAACACAAGCATACACACACAATAGCAAATGCACACACAAGCAAATGTCCCCTAAATACGCCACTGACCATTGATGCATCGATGTATTGTATATGAATAAGAAGAATTAAGAACCAACATCCAGTTTGGGAGGAGGAGTTTGCTTGAAGACCACCCTCAGTTCGAGATGGATGCAGACGGTAAACTCATTGCTGCCATTTGCCATTGATTGCGTCTCCTTGAAAACTGCCTCATCCATCCTTCATAGTAACGCCGCCAGAGCCATCTTGGAGTCATATATGGCGCCAGTGCTGCTCAACGGATGGCCTCCACCAACCCCTAAAATAGATAAATCTAACTAGACAGTTTGGTACGACGACTGCACAAAAGAAATTGTTTTAATAGAGCCATTGCGCGAGGAAAGCTTGCACTGTAGGAAGAAATTAGGAAAAGGGTAAAACACACATATGAAAAAATTCATCAGAAACATTTTTGCATTTTCTTCATTTACATTTTTGTTTCAGTAAATTACTCATTTGTCCATTTCATTAATTTTGTTATTTATTCTTATATTGTCTATACTACGATGAGCATACCAGAACACACTCAGGGTTTGTTGGGCTGAGTTTTAACATTTAACAGGAATGAAAAAACAACATTTCAAGCAAAAATGACATGAAGCATAAGCTAAAAATTTTAGATTAAGATTAAATGTGATGGCAATACATCCATTGGCTTTCATTAACATCTACAAAATTGCAATTCAATAAAAATGTCAATTTTTAGTAAACACAGGCGACATTCTTTATTCACGTACATTACAATACGTCAACAGCTAGATAGTTATAAATAGCAGCATAAATTCATAATTTTAAATAAATAATAAATTTTAAATAAGCGATTTCGAAAAACAATTTTATTTCACTATGTAATACAATTTTATAATGTTCGTCTGATCTTTTAGAAGGTTTGAAATATACTACACACTTACATTTTTTAAAGCAAGAATACAAAAAAATATAAATGCCATTCCAAATGGATGATTATTATTAAATAATTGATCTATAATTGGAAAAAGCAGAAAAAACATTTTGTGCTCCAACAACTGTAATGGAATATAATTGAAATAATTGAAATGATTACATGTTCGGAAACTTTATTTCATTTCATAAATTAGTTGGCTCTTATTAAACCTCTGCTATCTATTGCATCCCTTTGTAACGTTTTGTAATGCTCTTCTGATTCTGAAATTTCTTCTGAAAACAACAGAAAGCATATTGAAGAGATAATTTATTAGAATGTTAGTTAAAAACATTATCAAGTTCAGTCAAGCAAAATATTAAACAAACAATGCTTCAACTCTTTCTATTCTTGAAGAATACTGCATTGACTATAAAAAGAATAAAAACAAATAAATCGGTACATACCTTGTACTTGTGAAATTTTAATTCTCAATTTTTTGGTGAGAGCCTCTGAATCATTTGTTCTTCTTTCCATCTTAATTTTAATAGTGATTATTATATAAAACAACTTATTTGAATTAATCTTTACTTGTGTAGTTTAAAAAGGTGGAACTGCTTAAACTTTTTATGGTGTGCCATATTTATATATTATAAAATGCGCATTAGTGTGTATGTACTGCGCGCATACTCTGGACCAGAGATGTTTTCAAGTACCTTTTCTTAAGTACAAGCACTCACGTCTTAAGTACAAGTACTGAAGATCAGTGCCCGATTAAAGCAAGGGCAACATGGCCTCTTCTCAAAAGAGCCCTCCTTTCAGGGATTTTTAAATTTTTGTACATAATTTTTACCGCATCTTTAAATGTGATGACATTTGAACAAATCTTTATTCGCCGGGATAAACAATTTCAGCAAAAAAGTTTCATAAGTTTCTATGAGTTTGTCTGCTGAAAAAGCTTTTCTTTTATTGGCATTTGATTAAATTTAAGAAAAAAATCTGAAAAAATTACGAAGGAAACAAAAGAACCTGAAACGAAAAATTTTTAAAACGGAACTAAAGAACCGTGAATGAGATCATATTTGAATATCGTAGCGCATTATTTTTATAAAATTTTAAACTAGCTATTTATTTTCAAAATATTTTTGAAAACTCATTGAAAACAATAAAAATTTTAAGTTATTCAAGTTTTTTGGTTTAACAAAAACCGTAAATAAAATATTACAAAGAAATCAGATTTAAATATTGTAACACAATATTTTTAAAAATTGTCACTTTCAACTCAGCAAAGTATCATTTTAACCCAGGAGCCAAACAGAGTGTCCACTGGCGTACCGAGGGGGGGGGGGGCGAGGGGGGCGGACCTCCGATTTGGAGGGGGCCTCCAAAAAGCCAATTACGAAAATTATTAAATAATTTATTTATTTAGTAAGTGTATAGACGTGATTTTGTGTTTTTATTTTTTAATATATTTATTTATAAATAATCTGTAGTAATGCATATACTTAGTTAGAATAAACGCTTTTTTAAAATCCTGACCGAATTGGTAATCCACGTCTATTTTTAGTCGGACATTGACATCATTATACTTGAATGTGATTGGTTGATATAGTTTTTGGATGAGTCGGCTTTTTCAAACTTTTTTTGTTGTCTGTTCCGTTTGTTTATTAGAGTGAGTTTTAAATTTTATTTATATATTTATCAATCTCTTCTTTAATAAGTTTAAATATAACTGCTATCTTTCAGGTAAGAAAAACAGAAAATATACTTTCACCCACCGGTACTGACTCACTAGTTTAAATCTAAGGTACAAAAAGTGTTGATAGGTAAAGACGGATATCTGTTCTCCTCGGTTTACGTGACTGATGTTACACCATTCTTTTTCACTTTTAATTTTTTAAATTATATTTTAAGCCCTGAAGTTAAAATAAATTATTAGAATTAAAACACTATCAACTTTTAGATAGATACGTGATCATGAAGAGACATCATCCAAGTGGAGCACAAAAACGAAAAATTTTGAAAAGTAGAAGAGCAGAAACCGAAGCTCTGTCGGATCAATGCTAAATTG